GCTTCCCAGATGTTGCGGTGTGATCGCGCCTGGAAAATCCGCCTATCATCTGTCTCAGTAGCATGGCTAATGCTCCGTGTGTCTGCAGCCAAAGAAGACCTACATGGCCAGGCACATATCAGTAGTAGCCACCACTGTAGTCAGAGTTGCTACCCTCCAAGTGGGGCCTAGAGATCTGGAATTACAGTTGATCTCCAGACGACAGAGATTAGTCCACATGGGGAAAAATAGCTGATTTGGAGGTAGACGGGACTCTATGGCATTATGATTCTTCCCCTCCCCAAGCCCTGCCCTCCCTAAGCTCCACTTCCAAATCAGGAGTATCTAAGACAGAAGCTGTCAACTCTAACCATAGTACTGAAGGGAGGCAGCACCCTTTTGCAATCCATATATCCAGTTTGATTGGGAAACCAGCTACTGGTGCCTCCTTCTCATCCCTTTGGGAGAAGCTGCTGGCAGAATTGACTGCCTTATTCTTTCCATGCCCTCTGGCTTTACTTTGTGTGAGGCTGGTGTCCTTTGTTCTCTCTACCCTGTTGAGAGCCAGTTTGGTGTAGTGGTTAAGAGTGACAGACTCTAATCTGGAGAATCAGGTTCAATTCCCTACTCCTCCACTTGAAGCCAGCTGGGTGACCTTGGGTCAGTCACAGCTCTCAAATTCAATCTGGGTACTGTAGCTTAATCTGAAGGGAAGATGATATATGGCAGATTCCACATAAAGGAAGGAAGTTTGATTTATTATCTTTCTAGTTTACTTTTTTAAAACTTTACTTTCTCTGGTTCTGCCAGTGGAGTACTATTCATTTGCTTGTGTGAATTATTTGAGCGAATAAAGAAGTGATTACTCTGTCCTGTAGGGCTTTGATTATAAAGGCACTGTACTACTATTTAGACATACTGAGTAGTATTTAGCCATACTGAGTAGTAGTAGTAGTAGTAGTAGTAGTAGTAGTAGTTAGTTGTTGTTACTTTTTAAAAAATTCTCCATGTCTGAATCCTGATAAGCAAAACACATTGAAAGGGGGAATCAATTTATAAACCTTATGCTATGGTTCCAACTAAAGAAAATTTGATGCAACATATAACAAAATAATAAAAGCAACAGCATATACAAATGGAATTGGTATATTGATTTTTCACAGACTATTGCAATAGAGCCTTATTCCCTTTATTAAAAAGTGCCCCACTGAACAATTCCATTTTACTACATCCCTATTCCCTTCATTAGAATGTCCACCTGAACAGTCCTGCTTTACACATTCTGTGGAATGATATAAGTGTGTGGGCCATTTCACCAGGTGGGAGCCCTACTAGATAATGCTCTGTACAAGGAGCTATTGCAGGATGTCACCTTCAGAAGGCTTTGTTCAGATAAATAATTTTCAGACATGCATGCAAACTATTAACAACTGTGTTTCTTCAGATACTCAGATTCGTCAAGGTATACTATGCACTTTGATTGTAAGAAATATAAACAGAAAAAGAGATATTTGATTTATTTTATTAAAATATTGTGACCTGTTATAAGATAAATCACACACACCCATTATTATGTGTGATTGTATTTGTTTATATAAGTATAACATGGAATTGGTTTTAATTATTACATTTTTATCCCTCTTCCTCCAAAATGCTCAGGGCAATATGTCTAAACAGTAGTTTTTGATGCAGATCTGTAGGGTCGCCATAAGTCAGTTGCAACTTGACGACACTTTACACACACACAAGATTGTCTGACAGCATTTGAAATTGTCAGTAAATAAAAGTTTTTCAAAAGTATACTGATGGAGAGGTGAGGTTGGCTGTCAGTCATGCCACCGAAGTTCATTTGAATCAAATCCCAATTGTCACCATTCAACAAATTAAGGCTTTCAAAACTTAAGTCTTGTAAACCTGTTGACACTTAATTACACCTAACCTAACAATGCTTCAAATGCTTCCTTCTGCTTCCTAACAAAAATCCCCCAAAGCCAAAAACAAACACAGGATGTTTAAAGAATAGATAGAATAGATTCATTAACAGTTAGAGGATAATTGGATTCTGTCAGCTGAATTTGCTGTTTAATGATTTATCTTTTCCTAGGCTTTAAAGAAATGTTTTTCTTCTCCAATACCCAGGAATTACCTCTATAAACCGTCTGTCTTTTTCAGTGCCTTTTAAATTAGAAGTCTCTAAAGTTTTTTCCTCTTGTTTACTTTTTCATTATGCCTTCTCCTTCATCTCCTGAGCTGGTCTTGGTCCTTCTTTTCTTTTTCTCTATTGTTCCCATCCCGATCTGTCTGTCTCTGCATTTTTTCCCTGTAGCTTTTCCCTATCTTCCTTCCTTAGTCATCACAATCCCCCCAAAAGTGCTCTTCTAATCCACCTCACGTGTTTTCCTCACTCAACACTTAAAGTAGCATTAAAGAACATTAAACATTTTCACTCAAAAGGTGGGAAACATTCAGATAAGTTTTATTGCCTATCAAGATGCTGTTCTTGGCTGCACTTCATATAGTGCATTCTTCTCTAATGAGGCCTATGCAGTTTCAGTTTTACATCAAAGAACAGAAGACCTGGGTTCAAGTCCCAGCTACAATATTCATGGGTGGCCATAGACAACTCAGTGTCTTCTTATAGTTTACAAAAAGTGATAATTGCTGTTTATGTAACTGTATTTTAAAACTTAATGGGTAGTAGTAGCAGCAGCAGCAGCAGTAGTAGTTAATAAAATGAAGAAATAATCTAGGTAGTGGCTGGCTGCTTGCAAAAGGTAATCCTAATTATTACGTGCGAGTTCACAAAAAAGCAGCAATTTTTCCTCCTGTTTAAAAGTTTTTTAGAAGTATATCAGGAAGCATTTTCTATTTCCTCCTCCATTGAGTAGCTGATGGATGTAATGTATCAGGCTTGCTCTGTTCCTGAACATTTGATTCTTGCCTTACACCCCTCACAGTGTTTTGGATCATACTAAAATCTTCTACAGGCATAAGGGATTTCTGTCCACAGAGGTCAACTGTTTTCTCTCCTACTACTACTACTACAGTCCCAAATCCCCTCCCGTGCTTCTATTTGGAGACAAGGGGACCCCTCAGAACAACATGAGGGAGGAGATTCAAATCTGCACCGGTTAAGAAGAATCGGGGGGGGGAACCCACCATCCGTGAAAATCCCTTCATGGATCTGACCCATTCAATTGTTCAAAAATTCAAACTAATAATACTGAATTTATCTCTACCAGCATCTTCTGCTCTGAGAAGATGAAAAAAAATGACTTTCCTACTTTCATACTTGGATGTGTAAAGTGTTGAGTGACAGAAAATGTACTAAACTTGTGCCTATGCAGGCTAAGGCAGATAATGCTACATCTGTTAATTTATTCCCTGTTGAATGCTTACGTTCATGTTCGTGTATTATCTTGGTCTATTTTACATTAAAAGTTTGTTCAGCAGAGACTGAATAGCATGAGTCCCAGAATTTTGCATGGAAATGAATTTCTGTGATTCCCCCCCCCCTTCTTTATTCACTTTTCATTTTGAATTAAACTAGATATAAAATCATGTTTAAGTTTAAGAGGAAAGAATACAGGGAGTAGCTTACATTGGAAAAAAGAATAAAGTTCTACTCATGTAATTTTTAAAAATAATTATTTTCACATTTATTTTTATTTAACTCTATGCTATTGGACTGAACCCTTCAAGCAACATTTGCACCGAACAATAATAATTCATTTTGTTTTCCCACCCCCATCCAGTACTTCACTGCCAGTGCTTCACTGCCAGTGCTGCATTCAGCTATTCTGCGGTATGATCTCAAAAGGCAATCTGTGTTCAAAAACCTTACACTCACAGCCATCATGTGAGGCCACATAGACTTTTTGCCTTTTTTTTCTTATCTAAGGTTGTTGACCTCAGGAGAGCAGGAGAAGGTTATGAGGTCAAAGTCTTTTCCTCCTTGGAGCTTGCTTCTTGCTGGGAGAAGGTTGGCTGGAAAATAGATGTTTTAGAACAGGGGTTAAGGGTCACAATTTTAATTCTGTTAGGGAACAGCTGTTTTGAGTTTCTTTCCACTTCTGTCTCCCCTCCCTCCCTCACAAGTCCGTAGAGAGAAAGAAATTTGTTCAGAGGTAACCAGAAACACGAAAATATGTGGCTCCAGTGTTTTAGCACTTTTAAAAATGCATCATCTTTAATAATGGTCTTCCCATTAGGAGAGGATTATTTAAATGGCTAAAATATATAGTGCTTTTCGACCTTGGGATGTAATTAAACTGCCGTTCTGGAAGAGCTCTGGTTGCTCACCAAATATCAAACACTAATAATATTTGTGCTCAGTATTGATGCACACAGCATATTTTGTTGACAGTTTTCAAGCAGATACACCTAAATAAGCATGTGAAATTTAAGTTGAGAAGTTACTAGGAAAGGAAAAAAATAATAATATGTTCTAGGTTTTTTTAATGCTTCTGCAGTGTGGGCTTGCCGTTTTCATGCATTAAGTTGAATTCATGGGGCGGTAGAAAGGGAAGGAGAGAAGCTTGCAGCTTTCAGATGAATGGGGAAAAAGTAACAGATTTTGTCTGCACTACTCTGAAAGGTTGCCCTCAGGCTGTGTTGGTGTGTGGCTCAACAGCAATCAGAGGTCATAATTTCATTGGTGGTTAGCATCAGGTTTAATTTTTCTATTATGTTGCATTTACCAAAATGTCTGGTTTTAGTTATACACATGCACTGTCTGAAACAGCTTAGAGAGTAGCTTGACATCCGAAGGCATCTGAATGGGGACAAGAGTACGTAAGAAACACACAAGCTAATTGTTTTTAACTGCCTTTCTCTGCAAACGTGAAAATCTGTTTTTTCATGAAAGCACCTAACATGTTTCTTCCGTTACAGCGATATAGAAATAGAATATATGTACTGATATATTTTCTAAATAAATAAATCTCCAATGATATAAATTCTTTGTTGAATTACAGCTGACAAGTAAAAGTAAACATAATGACAACTTTCATTCATTGTAGGAGTGTGACCAAGTTCACATTGATGATGTTTCATCAGATGACAATGGCCAAGATTTAAGGTAAGTCGAAATTGTTCAGATGTCAGTGGTATTGCCAGCTGTCTCTGGGGAAATGATGTGTTTTTTAAAGGAAAAAATTGATTCTAAGCCAAACTTGTTTTTCTGACTTTGCAATTCAGCTAAACTGCTACAGTAGCATTGAGTTAACCTGGTCTGGTACATTCTGTTGATACACATATTTTAAATTTATTATATCTAAACCAGCACCTATAACTTCGGAACAGATGGCTTCCCTGCAGCGGCCACCAGTGCTAATTTATGCCTAGCAACGGGTGTGCGTGGAGGAGTGGACTGGATGAGAAAACTGGCCTTCCGTTACAGACGAGTAAAAGAAATCTACAACACCTACAAAAATAATGTTGGAGGCAAGTGTCTGTCACTGACTGTATCATTGCCTTTTGAACCTTTATACCATGACTGTATTTACTGTGCTGTTTAGAGCTGCATGCTCTACAGAGTCATCAGGCATGGCGTTGGTAGTGGAAAGCGCCATTTAAGTTGCAGCCAACTTATGGCAACCCTGTAGGGTTTCCAAAGCAAGAGACTTCCTTGGTGGTCTCCCATCCAAATACTAACAGTGGCCAACCCTGCTTCGCTTCCGAGATCTGATGAGACTGGGCTAGCCTGGGACATCCAGGTCAGGGCTGGTAAATGGTCTTTGCTCCTATGCAAACACTACATTGCTTGCTCTTTTCCCTCACAGGTCTTCTGGGTCCAACAAAGAGAGAAGCTTGGTTGCAACTCAGAGCGGAAATTGAAGCCCTTACAGATTCTTGGTTAACACTTGCACTGAAAGCACTCACTCTAATTCATTCTAGGTAAGCAGAGTCAAGTTAAGGTTGCCATATGGAAAGACTTCAAATACAAAACTTTATAAATGATGCTTGGTCTTCCCTGAGATACCATATTTCCTTAAGACTTGTGCTTGTGGTTAATGCACTATGTATTGCTGGAAATAGTTGTGTGAAATCATGGCCCTTTAAAATGTGGCAATTAAATCTGGATGATCTAACAGATTTGTTTTTCTGCTTTTGTTTAGTGGCATTGGGTGCATTCAGACATCACTAGCAATCCTTAAAAACCATGGTTTGTTTGTGACAAGCATCAGAAAACTTCAGACTTAATCCTGGTTTGGAATCCTTGTCAGATGTCATGAGAATTTTTGATTAGTTCTAAGCCAGGAAGATCTCAGCATGGTGTACAAAGGAACAAGGGAAGGGGGAAGGAAGCACATGAGTCAAATAACTTCCTGTCTCTTTCTCGTTGTGAATAAATTATGGTTTATTCATGATATCTGAATGCCACCCTTGTCTTACAGGTGCATAATGGCAATTGCATTTTAACCTCTTGGAAAGCTTAGCCTCTTCCATGCTAGGGAATAGTGGAAACTGAAAAAACAGTTAGCATTAACATTATAAGGCAGATGTGTGAAATATAAAGTTTGATTAGTGTTTCTTGCAAAAGTGGCTTTATTATAACATGGGAAATAAGTCTGAAGTGGGTGTTCAGTTTGCCTCCCTTCTCATCCTTTTTGTCTTCATTTGTTCTGCATTTGTTCTGCATTTTTCTCGCCTTCTTTCTATCCCAAACACTACTTCCTATGCCAGACCTGCTGCTTAGCTGTTATCATGTTGTCTCAGCAACTGTCTATGAAACAGCCTATAACTGTTGAGATATAAAGGGCCAAGATTAAAGGTGCACAGTGCTGTACGCTGGCTTCTGGACTGGAAACTCTGTAATTGGGGCAGGGACTGGAAAGTAGCAGAGAAAATAATAGGAAAAAAAAATAGGTGCAGTCTGTGATTCGTCTCCTGAGTCACTTATTACTCACAGTAGGCTAGCTGCTGCATAAACTACAAGTCTGCCTCAGTTATGTGTAATTTCAAAAAGCACCCTTGGCCCCTTCCCCTAATTGGACCCATTGCAACTGATGTATTGCACTTTGCCTGGTGATGCTGACTTGTGCTCTTTTAGCAGCACTAATCCATGCTGCTTTTCCAAGACAATGTTCTAGGGGTATCTTCTCATGCTAGCACCGCCCCCAGAACAAAGAAGTACCATTGGTCTATTGTGAAAATACCTGAGCTTTTTCTGCCCAAAATTTGTGCTGATTCCCTTTCCCATACTTCCAGGTCTTGAAACTGGCACTATAACACCCTTCCAAAAACCAGCATGCCTTTGGATTTATTAAGGGATCATTTTCTTTTTTTAGGACAAATTGTGTGAATATTCTAGTGACGACTACTCAGCTTATTCCAGCTCTTGCAAAAGTCTTGCTATATGGCTTAGGTGTGGTATTTCCAATTGAAAATATTTACAGTGCAACTAAAATAGGTGAGTTGGGTTTTTTACAGTAAGCAGAGTTATTACTTGAGGCTGTACTTGCAGATGAGAAGTGATTCCTGAGTATCTTTTTTCTAATGCATTAATATAATTTTAAATTATTCTATAGTTACATATACAACAAAACTGTACAACATGCAGCATTTCTGTGCATTCTGTTTTTCATGCTAATAGTAAACTAAGTTTTAATTTTAGGACACAATAGAGTTAGTTAAGCAGATTCAGTATGGACCATTACTCCATTCATCATCAATGTGTTGTTTTCTACCACTCATTATTATTATTAATAATGTTTATATTCCACATTCATAATTCTCTAAACATACAAGGAGATATAAAACAAAGAATAAAAAATAATAGAATACTACAACAGCAACCAAAGGTACCATACAAAAAAAGAACAGCACTGTAACTGTGGACTGATTTCCACACTTTGACCCCAAAATCCCAGACAGATATCACTTTAATTTTATCCATAAAATACAAAAATAATAGTGCTGTATAAAGAAAAGTTTGCATTTACAGGAAAGCTCCTGTCCTTGACTGTCACCTTTTGCGGCAGCAAGAAGAGATCTTTTGATGAATGTCTTAATGGATAGGCAAATTCAGATAAAAGAAGATGGTTCATCAGATACCCTGAGTCAGATCCCAAGGGCATACAAGGAGGGACCTTTACCACTGACATGACACATTCCACCCTGTACATCCTAGTTAATGTCTGCTGTATTCTGAACCATAAGTTCTTTTCTGACCATCTTCAAAGGTAGTATGCCATAGTATGTCAAAAGAATATTTAATTTTACAAGATCAATTATATTAATTAATGCTAGATTTTTACAATTATACTTGTATAGTTGTCACATATTGGTAGCTTTGATGATTCACACAGAAAAGGTATTGTTGCGCAGAAACTTTAAGATCTCTTGAAATAACTGAGAATATGCAAATCTGGCAATAAGAAATTTGCCCCAAAATCCTCGGGGGGAGGTAGTAGCCTATATGAAGGTCCATTACTAGATATGGTAAGATTCTTAGGACCTCTTTAATCAAGTACCAAGGGAAAAACCAGCCACAACACAAAAGAACTGTGAATAGATCTTCCATCGTTTTTAAAACGCTCTCAGCTCCAGGTGGCAACTTTGAAGACTGGGTAAAGGTTGAAGGTTAGAAGGTACCTTAGTCTTGCTTCCCATGTCTTTTCCATTATTTAAAGTGACCTTCCAAAGCAGCAGAGAGGATACAGGTACAATCAATTGAACTATCTTTTTCCCACACCAAGCTAATTTCAGCTTTGGAGGGCATTTTAAATTGTGGAAAATGCATAGAAGGAAAGGGTAAAATATTCCTTCAACCAGTGAGCCTTCCCCAGTCTTCAAAGCAGTTGTTTGAGACTGCTGATCTAGTTTTCTTTGTTTTTATGAATGTCTTAATCATAAATTATGTTACATCTGTTTGGGCCTTAACATGCATAAAAAGAAAGCAGAAAAGTAAACAGCTAATTGGGGAAAGCAACTTAGATGAAAGACACATATGCTATCTTTAGTTCAAATATAGACCCTTGTCCCTTGATATAACTATTTCACATTATAAAATATCTGCAGCCATGTTTGTTTGAGTTCTTAATTTAAATAAAAGACAATATGGTTCCCCACCATTCAGATTAGATTGTATATCTTCAGTTGCACAGTCTTTAGTACTATCTATGCTTGTTTACAGGAAAAGAAAGCTGTTTTGAGCGCATAATTCAAAGGTTTGGAAGAAAAGTAGTATATGTTGTTATAGGGGATGGTGTGGAAGAAGAACAAGGAGCCAAGAAGGTAATGAGGCAAGGTTTACATGTCCTTAACTACATCTATAGTTGGACTAATTTTAATTAAATAGTTTTCAGATTTTAAGTGCTTTCACAATTAAAGGACCAATGGCTTGCTTTTAAATAAACATATGTCATACCTGAAAATTTGAATGTTTTAATTTATTTAAATTCATTCACATTTATAGACTGTTGGTTGCATCTAATCAGCCTTGGTACTTTCACAAGACGATGGGAGAGGGCAATCTTGTCCAGTTCTCCTCATAGCACGTTCTGTAATTCCCAATATAGACTTTTTGGGTTTGAAAAGGGGTCCTTTTCCCTTCCGGACCACCAGATCCTAACTCTTGGCAAAGAAATATATTGCTAAAGTCTCATAATTAAATAAATATGCAGAAGAAATACAAACATTTACTCAATGCTCACATTGTAGGTCAGATCATTTCCTCCTGTCAGAGGTGCCATGTTGACAGAAGAGAGAGGCGGGACAAATTCGTCTTCTTCCCACCTCTCATTGAAGTCCCCTAGCCACAGAACAGTCTATCCATGTGGATAATACAGCCCAAGGAGTCATCTTCCCAGGGATCAAAAGGGGCTGCAGGCAGGAAGAGGAACACAGGAAATCACTAGTACAAAGCATCCTCTAGAGGCATTGCTTTCATGTATTATTTGTTGCCGGAAGGAATTTCCAGTCTAGGACACAAGGAAACAGCCAAATTTTTGTCCTGGCAAAACTACAGTGAAATCAGTGGAATTATATCAACAAGGAATTTGGTAACTATATGTATTCATGCCTAAGAAAAACATCTCCCTGGGTCTACAACTGTTCAGATTCTTACCTCACCTCAAAAATACTACTTTTCAAGTTCTCCGTGACTATATTTATATGCCTGCAACTTAAAGGTCTCAATTGTGGCTTTGCCCCAAGGCCAAAATAATAAAGGACAGCCTGTGGTTGTGTTGCTCCCATAGCAGCCAGCAGGGAGATTTTCCTCCAATTTCCCTTGTTCTTCTGGGGAGAGAACAAACTGTGCTGGCTCTGCCCACCACAGCAAATGCACTTTCTCTGTTTTGTTGAACCAAGCCAGCCCTGTGTTGCAGGGAGAGGTGAGCCAAAGTCAGGGCTGCACTCTTTGTAACACATCCACAGTGCATGGCTGGTGTTGTATAACTATGGAATGGCACATTTTCTTTCCAGTGCAGATCTTGCAATCAATATAATCAGAGTCCAAACTAAGATTAAAAGAAATAGACATCTGCATGAGCTATGTTTACATACTAATTATACATACTAGTTTTACATCATCCCAGTTGTTACTGAGGGTCGAGTCAGCTTTCCATCCCTTCACAGCTGCCAGACAAGCATCCATGAAGTCATCTTCAGCTTCCAGCTGTTTGTCAATTGGATCGATTTAATTTTTCATATCTCTTCTTACATCCTCATCCAGTGCTTGAGGCAGCACAATTACGATGCTCCAAATACTGAGTGGAATCTTGGAGATTCAGTGGAAATGTGATTTAAAGGGATACAGAGGCATAATATCCAGTTTTTCACAGGCATTCCAATACTCTGTTTAAAGCTGTGGTCAGACGAGCAGTTTGATCCAATGTCATTGCTGTTCCCTTCCGGATTTAAAGTGCATGATCTGCCTTCCGTTCCCCAATAGTTGGCACCCTGTTCTAACCCATCTTCGAATAGAAGTTATTTGACCCCAGGGAAAGTCTGGTCTTTATGCATGTCATCACTTCCACTGCACATTTCCGGATATCTGAACGCTCTCTTGCAAGCTCAAGCCTTTTGGGAAGTCTGATCGCTCACTTCCATCTTTACACCTTTTTAAAAATGCAGTTAGCGTTGTGTGCATGAGTGGATCTTTGCCCCAGGGTTGTGAATCACCTCTTGTGTGTTTCTGCACCCAAACATTCTGTGTGGATTGGGAGCCCCCCGGAGTTGTTTTTGAGTGATAACCCCCCCCAACCCCTCTGTCCTGTTTCTTGGGATGGAAAATTCATGTAAATAGTCCATAGGCTCCCATATTGGCAGGGAGCCTGGGGAGGTTAGCATCCTTAATACAGGGAGACTTGGGGAAAACTGGAAGAATTTTAAAATCCAGGCAGCCTTACTTCTGAGCAAACTTGGGCTGAATATCTGCCCCCCAAACTGTGTGCAGGGCTTTCTAAGCATGGACCTTGGCTAAAGTGGGGGAGGGGGCTATATGTTCATCAGATTGCAGAGATCAGTTCATCTGGAGAAAACGAATGCTTTGGAAGGTGAACTCTATGGCATTGGACCCCACTGAGGTCCCTGTTCTCCCCAGGCTGCATCCCCAAATTTCCAGGAGTTTCCTTGCCTGGAACTGGCAACCCTACCCCCCATCCCACTTTTCCCCATGCAAATTGTGTTAGCAGAGTGAGAGCATCCTGTGGTTGACACAAGAGTAAATGCACTTAATTCAATAGGGCTCCTTTCATGTAAATCTGTAGTCCAAGTAAGAGAGGTGAAGCACCGGAGACTAAGAGCGGCTGCAGTACTTGGCGGAGGGATCATGGAGCTGTCAAAATGGAACAGTGCTTCGGTTAAGCACTTCTGAGCATGCCTGAAAGACAATTTTTAAATAAGGATGCTGCCCAACAGCTCACTCCGTGATTGACTTGCAGCAGTAATCTGAACAATCGACCATGGAGCGACCGAGCGGTAAAGTCAGTTCATGGTGGAATGTGTGATCAAAACTTTCCATTACAACATAATACGGCATAAGTAGAGGACCCCCAGACTGCACCAATCCTGTCGTCTGACCACAGCCTAAGACTGACAAACGATCATATAGTTAACATATGTTTTTTCCATGGGCTTGAAGTATGACATCAGCCAGCCCATTTTACCAATCTGCTTTCTCAATTAAACTTCATATACACCAATATAAATGCCGATATACTTTCACAAACCCATTTCTGATTGCAATGGATTGTCTTAGCAGCTTATTGAAAAGATGTTGACAAATCATGTACCATCTAATTTTATATGAGAATCCCCTATCCTTAATTCTCTAGTAGTACAAAGACAGATAGGCAAGGGAGGAAAGCCTTACTTTTCCTCCACTGTTTAATACATCACCATGTAGCAGTAACTACTTCTACTGAATATATTATCTCATTTATATGTGGGGAACTGGTAAGACATAAATATAAGAAAACGAGAACCATGCTGGATCAGATCAAAGATCTACCTAGACCAGTGGTCTCCATCATGGTACCCGTGAGCACTGTGGCTCCTGTTGACACCTTTCCTGGTACCCACAAAGTATTTTTAGAAAGTGAGTGGGGCCGGGTGGGGCTTTTACCCAGCAAGGCTTTTGATGGCTGTGCAGAGTTTAAAAACATTGCTTTGTCAGTAACTGCCACCACAGCACAAGGATCTTCACTGTGTAACAGAAGTATGGTGAAGCAGCCATTTTGTGGCTGCACCCACCATGCTGTGTCAAGAATTCCAAAGGTGCTCTCAGGCTCACAAATGTCATAGACCCCTGATCTAGACTAATTGTATGCAGTGGCTGACCAGATGCTTGTAGGAATCCCACAATCACGGCACAGAAGCCAAAAGCTTCCCCTTACTGTTGCTCCACAGATCAGAGCTGCACTGTCTCTCATCACAGAAGTTCTATTTAGCCATCATAACCAATAGTCATTGATATGCCTAATTCCATTTCTAGGCCATCTAAGCTTGTTGCCATGTCTACCTGTGGCAGTAAATTCCACAAGTTAATTATGCATTGTGTGAAGAACTACTTCCTTTTGTTTGTCCAGAAGCTAATATCCACAATTTCTTTTCAGGTGTCTCTAATTCTAGGATGCTGGGAGATGGGAAAAGTGGTCTCTCTAGCTACTTTGTCCACACCTTGCATAACTTTATAAATTTCTGTCATTACTTCCCATCTTTTTGCTAAACTAAATAGCTCATAGTCATTTCAGTAGAAATGCTGCTCCAACCACTTGATCATTTTGGTAGATTTTTCTGGACCTTTTTGAATAACCATCATTGTACATAATGTTCCAAATGTGGCTGCATCTTAGATCTATAGAATGGCATTATGATACCTGCTGTTTTCTTTGTAGTAGCTTTCCTAATAATCACTACCATGGATTTTCACTTTTTCCTTCTAAAATGACCAACTTCTGTTTTAACCAGCTCTTAGTTTATAGCTGAAAACCTCTCATCCCCAAATATTCAAACTACTTGAGAAACTGATGTGCTGCATACACTGTTAAAAACAGTGGTAAACTTTTATATAGGCCAGAACTAAGATTTGTATTTCAAACTGTGCTAGATTTTATTGGGCAATAACATATTACAGCATATTTGCTACAAACTGAAAAAGCTGAATCTGCATAAGAGAAAGCTGAATATCATGCAGTTTACTTGTAAATGAACTTGTCAATCAAATGTGTATCTTTTAAATGACCACTTTCACCATGGATTTTTATTGTATCCCTTTTGATTGATTAAAATAAATACGATTCACACAGGATGCAACACTCTCTTGCATTTCACTCAGATTGGATAAGTCATGTCATTGTCACCTTCCTATAAGCCATTGTTTCCTGCAGACTCGTTTTATAATGTCGCAAATCCGGAAGCTGCAGCTGATGCAAAATGCCACGGCCAGGCTAGTGATGGGACTCCCAATACGGGAACACATCCAGCCTGTGCTAAAAGTGTTGCACTGGCTGCCTATAGCATACCGGATTCGCTTCAAGGTGCTAGTCTTGACCTTTAAAGCCCTTTATGGCCAGGGTCCGACATATCTGACCGCCTTTCCCCGTATATGCCCCGGAGAGCACTGCATTCAGGGACCCAGAACCGACTGGTCCTCCCGAGTATTAAGGAGGCCAGATTGGCAACAACTAGGGCCAGGGCTTTTTGGTGGTGGCTCCATTCTGGTGGAATGAGCTCCCAGAGGAGATCAGGGCCCTGTGGGACCTTCTACAGTTCCGCAGGGCCTGCAAGAC